AGGGCCAGGATACGATGGTCCTCGATTCCGGCAACTTGCTCTTCTTCCGGCAAGGAGATCAAAAATCCCAGGGTGGTGTCGGATTTCTCGTCCACAAGTCCCTCGTCAAGAACGTGAGTAAAGATGACAGTGTGTCGAGCAGGGTAGCGTCCCTTATACTCAGAATATCACACCGGTATTCGCTGAAGGTCATACAGGTATATGCGCCGACCTCGACACACTGCGATAATGAAGTAGAGGCTCTGTATGAGGAAGTTGCCATACACATTGGATCATATCGCGCGTTACGGCGAAAACTTCTCCAAGGCCAGCGTCTAGCCTTGATTTTCCTGTGTAAGGCCTATAGGACGGTTAGCACTGAGGCCCTACCTGTGCTCGCAGGCGTCCTTCCGGTAGATCTTGAGGTGCAGCGACGTGCTGCTATGTGCTATGTATGTATGTGACACTACAGTGTGCTGCTAAGTACTAATTTGTCAGCAAGCTTTCTAGCACAACGTGATAGAAATAAAATTGATAGATTGTTTAAGCCAATGACGGACGTTTGAGGCGAGCTTATAACCGAATGGCAGTGTAGATGGGCATCTTCTATTAAGGGTCGCCACCTGTATCAGTTCTTCCCATCCGTGCATGAGCGGCTGGAGAGGACATGGTTGGAGGTGGATCACTGTGTTGCCCAATTTTTTACTGGCCACGGCAACTTTAAAAGCAAATTGTTCTCATTTAAACTTATTGATTCACCATGGTGCCAATGTTCGACAGAGGATTTGCGATACGAGCAGTCGGCCTATCACATACTCTGGGAGTGTGATCTCTGGCAATATGAACGTAACACTATGTTAAATAATTTAATTGTTTCGTCAGGTGTAGTTTATTATACGGACCTTGTGGAGTCTAGAACGAATTTCCGTGCGTTTAGGCGTTTTTGTCATACCTATTATTGGAAGCAAGTATAACAGCTCACACATAGGACCCACTTAGTTTTTTAGTCAAATTTCCGTGGTGCTTGGCGACTGGGCTTCACCCAGTTGTACAGTCTCTTCTTTGTGCCTTTAGGCTTAATTCATTCTGTCTCCTGCAGTAATTCACCGAGGGAAGTGAAAACCATAGTTTTTTCTTCTTCTCCTCTTATAATATCTTCTGATTCATTCCTTGCGGGAACCAAGACAGTTACTCATGTCCCTGGGACGCGCCGGACTTCAGTGTTCTGGTGTTTTCATGGTTGTATCTACTGTAGATCCTGGCTTATAGGAGTTGCAGCGATTTTGGGAGGTTGTGGCGGGCTTGTCCCATTAAAAAAAAAAGCCATACACAGCTCCGAAGCTCACTTCGCCGTTTTCATGGGGGATTTCAACGCGAAGGTGGGCACACGGTACGGTGAAGAGCTGAGATTGGGGCCATTTCCCTGTGTGCAGCGAAACCGTCGGAGTCAGCGGCTGGTCGACTTTATGGAGAGGGAAAGACTCTTTCTAATGAACTCCTTCTTCCGAAAGCGACCAGCTAAGAGGTGGACGTGGATAAGCCCCGATGGTTACACCAAAAATAAGATCGACTTCATCATGGCGACCGACAAGCGTCTCTGTGTGACAAGCGACAAGTCATTCCACAGTTTTGTTGTGCGAGGCAGAAAGCTACGTGAGAAGCGCACGTAGTCGTGGCCTGCCAACCATCTATATGATGGGGATGCATATGCTGTCGTGAGGGTCGATGGCGAAAAGATGCCGCAGGTGTCAGGTTAAAGAATTCCTCAGAGCACTCCCCGTGGTATAAGCGATAGAAAATGCACTACATCTTTACGCATTGCCAAAGTGTCCAGCTGGTTCGAAACATTCTGACATCCAACAATCCAAACGGCACGCCGCTGAACGCGGTTCAGAGGAAGAAGCTGGTACTGGGGTGCCCCCACCCAAAGATGAGAACAGAATATATAGAATGTGCAATACTGCCTCGATCTATTGAGGACACCAAGCTTCCTCGAGGCTAATTTGGTCTTATCCTCTAGATGACCGCGAAACTGGACGTCGGTCGAAATGCTGACACCAAGTATTCCAATACCAGCTGAGGCAGTTAGGCAATGTACTTCTATACCGATGTAATATAACTGAAATTAATACAAAAATTAAAATAACGTAAATAGTTCCTATACTAACACTGTACACAAAATGACCTTCAATATTTTTTACTTCACTATTATCCTTTAAAACGCGTGACAGAAACTGTACATTTTTCAAATCAATCTCGTCTAGACTGTTTGTTTTACGAAGTACAAAGTACTTTGGTGTTATAGTGCTAGACAAATGCATAGCTGGTGAGCTTTGGAATGCAACTTCTTCTGTCTTCCCAAGTCTTACCTCACAAGCATTGTTAAGGGTGACAATGTATGTGCCCATGATGTCGTGCTGGCTCATAGCATCGTCGCAAATTTCGTTTAGGAATGTAGGAAAGCCTGCAAAAATAATCCAAGAACCTGGACGTATGGATTTTATTTTAATTTCAGATGAATTGACAGGAACACTTAGGCACGATTTTATCTTGGCAGAAAACGTCATCAAATCTTTGATGCATTCATTTTCTTCCTCTGGAGACACGTTGCTCTCGTAACAAAGGAATTTTCCTTCGTCTATTTCTCTGCAAGGCTGGGAGAGCGATACTATTTTCGACCCTTTCGCAATGATATGAGAATGTTTGGGGCTAATTAAAAAGGATAGACCAAGGCGAGGATTATACATAGGAAAAGGGTGTAAGGTATAATAACTGTAATCATCTAATTGGACTGTTGGTACTAACAAAATAAAAGTTATTTGTGTGCCCTTAACATAAGCTTTGATGTCGATACAATGTTCTATATTAATTAGATTTTCATAAGTAACAGGAAAAATTAACTTATCTGTTTTTTCTATGTCTGTAAGGATATTAATTAGTTCACTGGTATGTAGTATAGACTGGTGAAGTACATTAACTCTGGTAAATGCAACAGCTGTTTCCACTTCATCTAAGCGGTTTAATAATATTTGGAAGTTATGAGTTAATATGTTATAAGTGTTTAAGACAAGGCTCTTACTCCTTTGAAATTGTGTTTTATTTAAGATTTTTTCTATTTCCGTAATGGTTCTTTCAAGTATTATAAAGTTATTTCTAGTACAATTGGTAAAATTAACGGAAGTGTCAACTACCTCGGAAATTAAAGTGACTTTATTTACAATTGCATCTTGTTGCAGTTGCAGACTGTTTATCCATTTATCATATCTAAGTGCATCATCATTATCTAAATTTCTTGTGATAGCTTTAATTAGAGTTCCGATAGGATTGATAAGTCCTCTTTTTATTCCTATATTTGCAATTAACTGATTGTATCGTTCCGTGGTTATGTTCATTATATACTGGGTTTGTAATTCGGCATCAACAAACCTACCATCTAAAACGTACGTACTTAATTTATCTTTCATATAATTAGATATATCATTATATTTTACTATGTTATATTCTAAATTCATAAGAAGTAACGCTAAATCTAACCTCTTAATTATATGCCAATTATAAAGGCTTAGTGACGCTTGTCCTTCTTTAACGGGTAGGATTCCCGGATTGTCTTCAATCCTTTGAAGTTGAAGGCCCAGGCTGAGGGCTGTTTGCATCGTTGCCGCCAGGAGGAACCTGTGAAGGACGCTTTATGTCTTTAACGGGATTTTTTTAAATTCTACTGGCTTTTTTCCGGACAGCTACGTTATTTCTTTTAATATCATCTACAACAGTCGGTATTTAGGCTTAACTTTACTACGCCTAGTATTAACTCCTTTCATGTAACTTTTATCCCCCTTTTTAACGTCGGTTTTCACCGCTGCGTTTGTCCTTGAACTGTATCATTTTATCAGTTAAATAGGTATTTAGTACGCCCAACATGTTCCTTAGCTACCTCTTGGGTGTAGATTTTAATGCCATAGCGTTTGGGTTATGAGAAGTACCTATGTGTATATCTGTTTTATAAAATGATAATATTTCTATTAAATACTATTAAGTTCTGATCCTGGATCTGCACTAATTCTTGATAGTACACAGTCAGTTATGTGGCGAAATATTTAATTAGTGCCCTTACAACTTCCGGTGTAGATCTATTACATCATGATCATGATTTCAAATGCTGGACCTAGTTTACTGAATACATCATCTATGATTGTGAGAGAGTAAGATCCTTCTATTGAAAATGTGTCTCTATGAATATTTCTTGAAAAGCTTCTTTGCAAGGTTCCCATGAGTTGATAATGGCTTTTTTTGAGAGGGGAATATCGTCCAATGACTTATCCCACCAGACTCTTACTGACTAAAAACCACCCCGTTCCTATTCCTGCTCTTCGAGCCGGAGCCCCGGCAACCCTGCGGCTCCGTATCGGGCATCAACCCTACTGGGCCCCATCTGTGGTTATTTGATGGCTCATTGAGGCGCGCGCGGAACGCGACGCACCGTACGCACAGGTCTGGTTCGGCGGCCTTAGTACGAGTGTGTTTTACGTTTAAAGTAATCGTAACGAGTACGCGTTCGGCGCTCCGTTTGGTTAGTTCATTGGCGCCGGCCAATCAGTGCGCCGAACGCGTCTCTCTGGTCGGGCGGCGAGCTACCCTTGCTCACCGGACGGTACGGCCGTCGGTAGATCGTCACGTGATCTCCGAGCTCCGACGCCCGGAGTGTCTCCCGCGACGGCTGGGGCGTGAGTTGGTTAGCTCCCTCACGCCCCGCCTCCTCTTTGGCTAGCATGACTGCTTCGCAAAAGGAGGAGACGGCATTCCAGTCCCCCTCGGTCCGCACCATGGCCTGAACCAGAGCCGGACGTGAGAGGTCGCCGTCGCCGATTACATCTCTGAGGATACGGCGGTACCCAGCCCAGGCAGGGCACACCGCCACAGTATGCTCCACCATGTCCTCGCAGTGATGATACCCGGGCGTTTTCTCCCGCCCAATCTGAAACAGGAACCTACCAAAACTTCCGCGTCCGGTAAGCACCTGCGTCAGGCGATAGGTGAGGACGCCGTAGCGTCTCTCAAGCCGCTCCTCAAAGAGGGGACTTACCACTGCAATGATAGCAAGCCCAAAATTGATAATGGCTACGGGTTGTTCTTAATTATGCCAGTAATAAGTTCTTTTTAAAAGGGCTACAGTTTCTTTGATACCGCGATGGCATGTTTTTCCAACGTGATATTTCAGGACTATTTCGCGTTGTTCGTTTTCATCTCCGCCATAAATAACTCTTTCAGTGCATTAAGGTTAAGGTTATATAAATAAGGTTCATAAAATATTTGTATATTTTTTTCGGTGGCGTTTGTCTTCAAAGTAGATGCAATATTTTATATATTTTTGTACTTCTAGAACTTTTGATTTATTCTTAGGTAGGACTTTGACACTATAGTCATTCCTATGCCAAGTATTTATCAGAATCTGGTTAGGTTTTGTATGTATGACTTCCTTTAGTATTGATATATCAACGGAATCTGTATTGTCTTCGCAATAAAAGATGTCTTTATACTCAGTACATAGGTTCGTTATTTATGATTTTTCTTCATGGTCTAGGTGACCATACCGTATGATATATGATCTTCGATCAACAATAGCAACCTGTTGATCGAAGTATATGATTTTTAGATTTTCTAATTCAATATTAATACAATATAAAGTATAAAGAGTTTTTTATGTTCCTTGAATGTAGAGCTATTATCACGTTCGCTTATTTAAACCGCTGCTTTACCAACTAGTTTCGATGTATAAAATAATTTTTGTTGAGCCTGATTAGTATCCCCTCTAAAGTTTCTAATGACATATTCGCATTTTGAAATAAAAAGGTTTTATAACTTATCATCCCCATTGGATTGTGATAATGCTTTGAATTTCATTTGGTATTAAACTGTCAAACACCGCGAGCACATCGGTGACCGCAACCTATTGTTTTTTAATTGTGTCTATAATGACGGTACTCAACGAGTTAATGTTGTATAATTTTCTTTTTAATTTATTAAAATTGTATTTTATCGAATTGTACCGAAAACAAACGTTCAACGTTCACGTTTGGCGATGTTTAGTCCAATTAAATGTTACTTACTATGGAATAAAAACAAGGAACGGAACAGTGCGGATAAAGGTCTACTCACAGATTACTCGATCCCATGCTGGTTCTTATTCTGCTGCTGCTGGCACTGCGTTCTTTACCGATTAGCAGTCACTGCGTCTAAAATGCGTTTCGACCAATATTTGTGTCTATTACGATACTATACGTGACTTTTACTAATCCTACCGACTATGCCAGAGTCAATTATGAACGCGCAAGACTTTGTATAAAAATTAATTTATTTAATTAAATACAGTACACATATGTTCACCATGAGCGTTATTGAATAATAAACACTTAGACCTAAGTTACATCTTTTTAAATACCAAAGAAAGAATTGTATGTGTGTAGGAGTTTGTGCATGTGTGTGAGTGTGCGTTTGGTCAGCCACACACGTACACACACAACCAATTGTGTCTTCAGACAGATAGTTGGTGACAGATTACATAACGTTAACTGATTAGCAGAAGCAGTTGGCGACAGATCATACTTGGACGTTATTGATTAGGAGAACCTAATAACCATGGCATGGTTACACTTATACATACCTACCTACTGATACTATGCTTGGTTATCTGTAATTTGCTACCTCTTACTTTTCGTTTAGTGTTAACTATTTTCGACACATGTATATAGACAAGATAAGTTGGAAATACTGCTCACAATTATGTATTTTGGCATCGAAACATTTCGCCATTAAAAATATCTTAATTTCGAAATTATCGATGAAAAAAATGTGTATGAACACCTGATGAACGAGCCCTTAGCTTGAGTGTATTTGCCCGTATTGCAAGTGCAGCTGTTACCGATTAATGAACTTAAACTGTGAAATTCGGTTGCCGTATTCGACCACAAACCGTTTGCGGTGACTGACCTAGTATAAAAGTTGATACAGCTTGCCGAATTCGATGATACGGTAACATCCATCGTGGTGATAACTCAAGGATTTGGTAGTCGCAATTTTTATTTAATTGTACACACTTTCGTGATCTATTTGGCTCTCTTTGTTAAATATAAATACAACAATTTAATTATAGGACCAAATATTTAAAAGATCAACACCAAATTCTTGTTTGCAACAGTGCTGGCCTATTTTACTACGTTTTATATATTTTTACAGGTGAAAATGGTTTTGTTAATCTGGCTAAGTGTTTTCTTAGTGCTCACTTGCAATGGCCAGAGAGTGAACAAATATGAACACTATTTGGACGATCCAGCAGTGAAACTGTTCAGAGAATATTTACAAATAGACACAAGCAAAGCAGAAAATATACGTATGTATTGTTTCTTTTCGATTTCGCTAACAAATTAAAGCAATAACTACTTAGAAATAATGATGAATTGTGGTCCCTCATACTGTGGCTTAAATATTATTTAATTCCATAGAATTATAAAATAATATCCAATAAATGTATGCAAATGGATGTACTTAACATTGAAATTTGTATATATTCACTGATTCCTATCGTGTTCCTGTGCAGTAAATTACGACGGATAACATTAATAAGTGGAATAATTAATTTGAATAACAAAAGCATCTGTTTCATTCGTTTCATTGCTTTTATTATAGAAACTGGCTTAGATTTCTGGATACATCAGGCGAACGATGTGGGTTTGCCGTATGCGGTGTACTCGCCGGCCGGCAAGCCAATATTTGTGGCTACGCTTGAGGGCTCCGACCCTTCTCTACCCAGTATAATGCTCAACTCACATATGGACGTAGTCACAGTTGATGCGGTAATTAATATTAATATACCTGTATGAGTTACAATACCTAATTCAAAATGCCTATTTTTTAATCTAAGGGTCAATGACACGTGTGCAATGTGAATGTCAATGACAATTCACACATAATGTCAATTTTTGATTCTACTGTTCGTTAAGTCAAGTTCGCCGGGTCAACTAGTATTAACGTTTAATTTGTTAATAAAAGTTTGTTTAATATTATTGTACGGTCATGTTGATCGTACCTAACACAAAGTACAATGTCTGCCAAAAGAACTCGGCAACACATTTGTAATTCTTCTGATGTGGCGATGTCCATGGACAGTGCTGATCGCTTGCCATCAGGTGATCTATCTACTCACTTGATAGTACGCACTTTATTTTTACTACTACACAAAAAAATCGAAATATAATTTATCTTTCTAGAGCGAATGGAAGTATCCACCATTTGCTGCTTACATGGATGAAAATGGGGACATTTATGCTCGTGGCGCGCAGGATACTAAAGACATTGCTATCCAATATCTAGAGGCTATCAAGAGACTTAAGAATGATAATGTTACCTTACCTCGCACTCTACATATCACTATTATGACAGGTAGGTTAATAAATGCATGCCAGTTATTTATAATTCTAGTTTTTTCGCATCTTGTTTACATAATTTTAACTTCAGAGTATCATCTACTCGTTACCTTGGTGGTCGAGTAATCGCAAGCACCACTGCCAAGCAAGGTCAATACCCAGGTTGCGTAAAGTGTTATATAATTTATAACTATGATATCATATTGAAGGGTTATCTCTAGTCCAAATAGAAAATCTCTAAGCAACGCTTAATTTGAGAATTTAAACATAAAAACATACTAAACTACTTATACATAGAATTATTTTTTGTTTTAGATGAAGAATCCGGTAGCGCACAAGGCATGAGAGTATTCGTGAATACGACTGAGTTCAAAACGTTAAACGTTGGGTTCGCGTTAGATGAAGGACAAACTACACCTGGAGACACTATTCTTGCATCCTTCGTTGACAAGAGAGCTTGGTGTAAGTACCAACCACTAACCACTTAATTTTCCTACACTACCGCGGCCCTCGCTGGTTGGTAAGGAGTGGTTTTTATTCAATAAGGGCCTAACAGTTCTTAACCCCTAGCCCAGAGAGGAGTAAATTGTTCAATATAGTACATCACTAAGACTCTGATTTACGACAGCTAGTTTCTACGAATCCCTAGAAATTGAATTAAAAATAACATAGACAAATCGTACCTACTTTTAGTTACTTCTAGTGTTAATTTGTTGGTAGGAAACTAGGAACACGCTGTTGATTTAGAGAAAATTAGATGTATATTTTTTTTTCTTTTAGTTGATCTTATATTTCTAAGTACCAACGAGCAGTACCTATTGTTAAATCCCACATTTCTCTTCTTTCGTGAAACTAACAACAAAGATATTTTTAAAACATGTTTTTATTTTGTATGTTATAGCAATATGTTTTACTATCCGTGGTGTTGGTGGCCATGGATCTTTAATGCCGGACGGTACAGCTATGGACAACGTAAGTACCCACTCTTTACCTGTTATTCACTGAATCCGTATGTCTACCAAAGTTTAAAGATAACATCTTACGCCATAAAATTCGTACAAAATTCATAGAAAAATATAGTTTATTTCGAAAAAGCAATTTGGGTCATCCTTATTCACTAGGGCTGAAGCCCCACTGAAGTTCGCTACCGTGGTTCCGACTCAAACAAAGCAGGAAAGGGATGATTTTAGTCTGTAAGAGTCTGACTCGTGGAGAACCTAACGGGTTACCAGGGCTCCGGCTCGAAGTGCAGGAGAAGGAACGGGGTGATTTTTAGCCAGTAAGACACTGACACTCCCTCCCGCGTCACCCAGGCGGGTGAAGTCATTCGATGATTATCCCCCCATAAAAAAAAAGAGTCTGACTCTCTCCCTCTCTCACTCGCCTCGCACGTCGGTGGGGGGCATTTGATAATATTCCCCTTAAAAAAGAAATATTCTTATTGTAGTACCTACTACCTAAATTTTTGTGTGGCACCCAAAACAGGTTGTTTATATTTTAGTCCTTTACCTGTATCAAATAACAAGGCCTATAATAAGAATCTTAATGCCTTCACCGTACCTATTCAACGCGAATCCAGATTCAGTTGTTATAAAAAGATTCTACCTGTATTTGGTGTCGAACCGACTAACGGGCTCCGTCCTGTCCTTGGTGGAATGCGAATTTCTTCATTAAAATAACTTCATGACTGTTATTCGTTTATTTTAAGTTAGGAACAATCATTTATGCCCGTGTCGTTATAAGCGTTAATTCTTTTGCAAATCTAGTTCCAAATGTTATAAAGCATAATATGAAAAGCAGATGTTACATTACTTCGACACCTGGCGATCTACTTATAAGGTTTTATGTGTGTTAATGTTTGTGGTTCGTTTGCAGTTTCACACATTTCTAAACACCGTATATGACTACAGAGACACACAGAAAGCAATTCTCAAGTCTGTTGCTAACAGCACTGTCGGTGCTGCGGCTTACACAAGTATCAACATCAATATAGTCAAGGTAATACCTAAATCTTTTCATTTATGTTACGACTGTGAGTCCCGAAGTGGCTTGAAACAAGTTGACCTTGTTGCATATTTTAGTTAGCTCAGTAGGTATGTCTCACGATAGTTATTATAAAAACATAGTCTAGCTTGATTACGTTACAGAACCAACTGTCTGATGAACCTCAAAGAGAATAATTTCAATATTTTAGCGTATTATGACGTCTTAAAGCCAGAGTGGTTCCGCTGAGGGAACGAGATCTCGCTAGACGTCTTGTATAGCTCTGTTTCTTTCGCTGATGGAAACATTCTGACTTTAGGACGTCATATTAACCCTGCAGTTCGCAGCGCACCGAGTCGGAGGGAGTGGGTCAGCGTTTCAATAGTGTCATATATTTTTTGAGTCTCAATCGCAAACTTTTTACAATGTAGTTTTCTGCTTCCTAAAGTACTTAAAATACGCGTTCATGATTTTAATGTAATGTTTAAATATCTACCAGTTTTAATTCAGTAACAACGGTCTGCTCCTATATAGTCTTTACTTATAAAATGATCGTTGATTTTAAGCTTAGACAATGTATGTAATATAATAAACTCTTCTTCGTATAAATGTTATCATCAAAAATTTTAAACAACTGTAATTAATTTAAAATTGAAATAAAATCTGGTGGTTTGTTATCATATTGAGTTGGTAAAGAATTCAAGGTCTTGGGATTTCTTTGTTATGCAAACTTGAAATCGCTGTATAGCAGAGTGCCGGTGTAATTAATACTTACCTACATCTTTATTTCAGTTATTATATTTTATTAGCTTAAGCATTTGACTGCCGACAGAAAACTGTTGAAGGTAAATCTTCCACTAACGTAGGTCACTGGTGACCCATGCGGCGGTTAACGTGTTAACAATGTAGTGTCGTTGATTACATCAGGAATCAAACTGAAATTAGAAGTCTCGATAGAGTAGATAGATAAAGGTTGGCAAAGCACCTGTTACTCGTCTAGTGTTGCGGGTCTCTGTGAGCGATGCCGATTGCTTTGATCAGTCTGCTCGTTTACAGCCCTATCCTATAAAAATATTTTCTGAAGAGAAAGTACACAAATCATAGTCATACAACTTATTAGAATAATTACTTTTGATTATTTTAGAAAATTTCGATATATATCAAAAAGTAATTTTCAGTCGCGCTTTTTGATTTAGATTTTCTTTTAACGGGTTTTTGTAACCCATAGATTTTTTTAATTTGTAGTCATTTTTTTTAATTATTTTAATAAAAATGCCGAATTCTGCCCTAACCCATGGATGATTTTAATATTTCCTTAAATACTACATAATATACATATGTTCAACGTTACAGGGAGGACTTGCTAAAAATGTTATAGCGACGGAGATAAAAGCAATCATGGATATGAGACTGGCCACAGATGCTAACCCAAAAGACATTGAAACTATGGTGAGTTCAATATCATGTAGAGCAGACTTCAAGCCATATCAGGCTATAAAACTGCCGAAGTTATCAAACCACTTATTGTCGCTAATAAAAGCTAATAAAGGCGCGCCTTATAATCTACATAGAGGTAGGCCAAGGCACACATACATAACAATGTAACACCCACTTTTACTATAACTACGCGGTTATCCCTATTCTTTATGAGTCCGATGTTCACTCCACGTACGAGTATACATCGGACTATAGGATTATAACTATAACAAAATTTGGCTATAGAGCCAAATATTGGGTACAATTTTTGAAAATATTGTTGCAAATATCCAATAATAGCCTAGCTTTTAATAATACTTCAATGTTTCTATGCAGATAAACTCCTGGTTAAGAGCAGCTGGTAACAACAACTCGGTGACATACCTTCGACATGACACTGAATCAGGAATAACATCAGTCGACAGCACCAATCCCTTCTGGGTTTCCATGCAGAGCACTCTAAGTGGAATGTAAGAATTTTAATAGTTAATCTTTTTGTCTTAAATATAAACATGCTAATTGTTTGAAATTATAAAAACTACAATTAACCAATCATCAAAATTCATTTAAGACCTTTAACTCGTTTTTATTTGAGTTCCTAACATTAATTTTATTGCAATACATAAAAATGCAATAACAATCAATGGCCGTTTCTTTGCGTTGGAATGTTTGAAAACAAGCCGTCTATGTTACAAAAGTGGTGTGTGGGTGCTGTGGTGGCCCGGAGGTTGAAGACGCCTGCTTCTCATGCACGAGCGTGCAGGTTCGAAACCTACCAACGTCAAGTACCAATGTGATGTTTTCCGAGTTAGGTACATGTACTTTCTAAGATTATCTAGACACCACTGAAAAACGGTGAAGGAAAACATCGTGAGGAAACCTGAGCTTATAATTTCTAATTTTAAGTTTGAAACCGCCAACCCGCATTGAACAAGCGCGGTGAATAATGTTCTAACCTTCTCCTTGTGAGAAGAGGCTTTGCTCAGCAGTGGGCATTTATAAGCTGTTGATGATGATGATGATGTTACAAAAGAAAATTGTATAAAACCAGTAAATCAATCTCCTGTCACTGTTTATAGTTTATCATTATGTTTGATAAAAATCAATAGTCACCAATACGAATTGGCATTATACTGAAAAAAATTGGTCTAATTAGTTAGTTACGTAAAAAAATTAGCTAAAGTCAATAAAAAATATTAAACTTACACATTTTTGTTTGTAAACAAGACAAAAGCTACTTTAGTAATTTATACTTAAGTAATTAATAATACGTACCTATTCCAAAAATTTTTTTCGTTACAGGGGCATCCGATTAGAGCCAGTAGTCAAAGCAGCCATGTCTGACGCAACCTATTTAAGGAACAAGGGTATACCGACCCTTGGTTTTGCAACAAAAACCAAAACTATTCCTAGACTTCATGCTAAAGACGAGTATCAAAATGTAGAAACGTTCCTAAGAGGTATAGATATTTATACAGAAGTACTCAAGGGTTTAGCTAATGTCCCTTCATCTTAAAAAACAAAATTATAATATATTGCTGATAATTAAATATAAGTTGTACTTATATACAGTTAATAAAAAACATATTTATAAGTGAATTGTTTTATTATACTTTATACTTATAGTCTTATACTTTATTAGTGTCATGGTGGCCTGGAGGATTAAGATGTCCCCTTCTCATACATAAGCGCTCTTTCTGACTTATATGTCCTTTCTAAGATTATTTAGACACAATTGACAAACGCTGAAGGAAAACATAGTGAGGAAACCGGGGCTTGAATTTGTAATTTGTAATTATAAGTTTAAAATCCCCAACTAGCAACTAGCTTGAGAAAGCGTGGTGATTAATGCTCAAACCTTCTGTGCGAGAGTAGGCCTTTGGTCAGAAGTGGCCGAATGGCTATCAACAACCTATAAGCAACCACTTACAGATCACATACGTAAAGTATAATCATCATAATCATCGGTTGATGATTGGTCTACTAGTACTAGGTACTAGTCCGACTTAACCCGTCGTGTGTCGGAACGTAGATCTACGCGAGACACAATGCATTTTCTTTTGTGTCTTATATACCGGCAGTCAAGAGGTTAATCTATAGAAAGAGAAAGTGACATTTTTATGCTCATCATAAGAACTAATAATTAGGTTCTCTTCGCAGCTTTGCCCATGTTACTTAGATAAAAATCCTATTTTGATCTACTTCCACTCAGTCACTCAGTCAGTAAGATCATTAAGAGAAAAACACGTAAGAAGGATTTAGAAAGCAAACTCATCCCAACACTTAACATTGTTGGGCATAGTCCACTGTACCAGGCAGTTAAAACATTTAATAGACTGCCACTTGAATTAAAAAGTATTCTGTACACAAGCTCGTTCAAAACTAAGCACAAGGCATTCCTGTTGGAGAAATGCCTCTACTCTGTAGAAAACTTGTAAAACACAGGACTGGATTTTTTAAAATTTTAAATTGATATTTAATAATTGATTTGGTTCTGCGTTGTTTTTGTGTACAATTTTTGTTTTTCTTTGACATTGTTGATGATAATTCTCTGTTGACATTATAATTACCTACTTTGTATTAATATTGATCTTTTTTATTGACATTGATAGTAGATTTGATTTTATGACATGTATTATATTTTATTGTATTGTATTGGGTATACTTATTGAACAGTGTATCAATGTATTAATGTAATTGTGTCACATAAATTTTTTCGTTATGAGACCAGTATTTTAGCAATACATAATTTTAAATGTAATTCGATTTAAGAAATGTTTTTTTTTCTCTCATTTTGTACTACTTGTGTTATTTATTAATTTTAAGGTTTAATTCACACCCACATACAAGCGTAAATTGTTTTTGAAATAAATAAAAAATAAATAAAAAAAAGTCATTCTAACGTGTTAGACAATTTAAAACCGAACTTCTTTGGCAATAAATTAAAAGAGGTATTAAGTGTCCATTTTCGTAGTTTGTAGATGTTGCAGTAAGATAGATAAAGCCGTATTATACTTATATCCCGTAACAGTTATACCAAAGTGATTAATTACTATCTTATAAAACGGTCCAAGTTTAGTGATATAGGTACTTATATTACTAGCTTAAGTTTAGTGAAATAACTTTCGGAGTTTGTGGTGGCTCGCCGCTACTTAAAGATGCGCCTTTATGAATCATTCAGTGCTATGTTATAGGGTAGACGACTAATTTTTATTTTAATGTCCGTCTGGTAGATTGTTTTAAATCATTACACACGTATTTTTTATTTTCTTGCAGAAACGAATACTTTCCACGATATATTGATTTGAAATGTCGTGTGTAGAAATGACGTTTTAGCCCCCACTCCCAAACTTTGATTCCTTTTATATATGTATGGTTTTATTATACGACAAAATAAAAAAATACGTGTCTAATATTTTTTAAATACCTAACTTACGGACTAATTAGATTTTTAATTTTCATATCCTGTCGTCATCCCAATTGTAGATGTCATGATTCCTCTTCTTGTCTTTTAAAGCAACCAAGACCTCAACTTAGTTGATAAGAAATCTAATTAATTTTAATCTTAAGCTAAATATATTCAATTTAGTAATAGTTAGTTTTAATTTTATTTAAGTTTTTATCTGAATAAATGATTATGATATCACATAAAAAAAGTTGATAAGAAGTAATAAGTCTTTTCCTATGAAATTGACGTTTGTATGAAAAAAGTTAATAGGCTTTTTCATGTCTTTTTTTGTATTAATCGAAGTAATTAGTTAAGGTAAGTATCATATCTGGAAATAAGTATCTATTGTATATGTATTAAGTTAATACCATATTAATTTGTCATAAAATAAATAAAAAGAGATAAGCGGTATATTGCCAATAATATCCTCCGCCTATTTAACCGGTTAGTGTCAGTTCGTACCACAATACCTACAAGGATTTTTTTTAATAAATACAATTCTATTCGATGTTCAACACCCAGCAATAAATCAATATTATATAGGCATTGTTGTAAGGTATTAAGCAGATATAATAAATAATGACAGCTGATTCTGATTTCGAAAATGTAAGTACCTATTAAAAATAAGCACTCTACCTAAATAACGTTGACATAATAGAATACTTACATTTTATACATTTTTTGACGTTGTTGTAATACTTTTTTAATTTTTAGTTTATTTATTGATAAGAATTTAAATTAAATAAATATACCTATATAAGTAACTTGCAATATAAATAACTAAAAACTAAAATACTAACTGACTAAAAACTTTTAAGGAGTAAATATTTTATTTAAGGTATCTACAATAAAAATTGTTTTTTCCTCATCACTATCATGAGGTAGGGTGCCCAAAAGAATGGCAATGCTTAATCTTTGCCCAAGGTAGTAGCCAGCCCTTCCATCATCTGAAGTGTCAACCTTCCTTTCAATATCTTTGTAAAGAAGATGTGCACTTGGGCCCCATAGACCTAAAGTTTCAACCCCAAACGGTTCGAAAGCATAATTGCCAATCAGGCTATTATAATTTCGCTGTTTGAGGTTCTCGGCAGCAGCAGCGGCGGCACCGGCTCGACACGCTGAGCTTGGAAAATGGGATGGCGCCAGAGTATCAACGCAAGTGACGTCCCATACTAAAGGCCTACCCTTCTTCCAAGGGAATAATGACATACCGTACGTCTCTTGCCATCATCGCGTACCAAGCCATTAGGTTCTGCCGGATTACCGCCGTGGGATCTGGAGGCGAAGGTGCACCAAAGATGGGGCCCAATAGGGCCGATGCCGATTCGGAGTCGCGGAGAACCTAACGGGTAACCGGGGCTCCGGCTCGACGTGCAGGAGAAGGAACGGGGTGGTTTTTAGTCAGTAAGAGTCTGACACTCCCTTCCGCCTCACCCAGGCGGGAGCAGTCATTAGATGATTTTCCCCCCTTAAAAAAAAAAAAAAAGCCATTAGGTTCTACCGTTCTAAAGTAGCTGGCACGCCAACGGAGACGAGAGCTCGACGAATTATGTCATGTCGAGCAGAACGGCCCGCACTGTGGTGTCCAAGGCTGTTGACATCTTCACCACAATGACAACGATGAGGTGAACAAAATGAAGCTCCAAGCCTCAAATAAGCGCGGAATGTGGTATCGTCCAACAAAGATAAACCCGACTGCCTCGTTGGCCGAGTGGTTGTAAGTGCGACTGCCGGGCAAGGGGTCTCGGGTTCTCAGTAGTTGCATGGAGGCTGGAGTTGTGCTCGGTATATGGCAATAGGCTCACCCCCACACGGGACTCATAACATAAATAGTGAAAAGTGGGTGTTACATTATACAGTGGCATAATGTGCACCTCTGCCTGCCCCTTTGGGGATAAGAGGCGTGATGTTATGTTATAGCTATATTTATTTATTTATTTTATAGAAAAGTTTACTATGTTGCCATAGAGAAAGCAGATAAGTATTAAGTGCTTGCGTAATAAAAAGGTAACTTATTTTTATCTAGAGGTAAACCTAAGTAGGTCAGGAGTCAATACTGGATGCTACATAACAGGTGCCAGGACGACAAGCTCAACTTAAGTTGAAATGATTTGCAGACTTGTAAGTTACAAAAGTGATTGACAGAAATGTATTGTACCTACGGTTTCTGGTAAAAATTTCAAGTTATTTAATTTATAAAATTTTACTATGAGTACTATGATGATGTATCGCTTGAAAATGGTACAAGCGCATGAGACGGAGTCGAATGAGGACTATTAAAGAATCCCATCAATACCATAGCGATTATACGTTTCAAGGAAAAAATAAAAAAAGCATTAATAAGCTAACATCATAGTTTTCTGATTTCCTCCAATTGTTTTATCGATGTTGACATCAAAACAAACAATAAGTATTCAATCACTAAGTGATGATACTTAATCAGTTTTCAGGCAAACCTTTTCTGAAGTGCTAGTATTGTGATAAAATGCGAAAACAAAAAAACAGTCCAATACGACCATATTCAATAGATAACTGTTTCTGCTTAACAAATTACCTTCATGACACTTCGTTCGATTTAACCTTTTAATACAAATAGGACAGATAAAGTAGGTAATACAAAAACATGTGTATTTCCTACCCAGATAATACAATGTGTTTCGTCTCGTCGGTGGATTGACTTATTACGATTTTTTGTGCCAGTGAATGGTGAAATGTGATTGCGATTTTATAGTGAGGTATAGTTAATATTTTGGAGTACATAATATAAAGTCCTTCTCGCGTATGATCGGTCTGTGTGAAATATTCGCTCGACGAGAGCATACATCGCCGTGCTCAAACACCATATCATAATAATTACTAAATAATACGCGAATATTATGACCAGCATGTAAGTTAATAACATACATTTATTTTTTGACCGAAAATACACAATTATCCAAACAACTTTAGATTCACCTTGTGAGTATGTAATTAAATACTTTTTATTCAAAAATTAATAAACGTTTCGATTGAAGTCATTGTTCTCGAAAATAAAATGATGCAGACAATGTTCTTTTGATAAATATAGTTTGTAAAATTGTTGGTAATTAGATTTCGAACGTTTGTTTTGAAACACCGTAATAAAATTAGAACTAAAGACTTAACAGTAATCCATTTTAATTATG